AAGGCAGTATGCACACTGCTGCAAAGGCGCTCGCAGGAATGAGAGACGCGTCAGTCCTGCTGCTGCTCCTGCTGCTATTGCTGCTGCTCCTGATACTTCTGCTGCAGGTACTGCTGCTGTCGATCTTGCTGCTGCTGCTGCTCTCCTATCTACTCACACTTGAAGTTGCTGCTGCTGCTGCTGCTGCAGTACTTAACACACAAGGTTGATGCTGCGCGGTGCTCAGCGCCAAGTGTTGTTGCTGCTGCTGCTGCTTCTGCTGCGGCTCCTGCTGCTGCTGCTGTTGCAGTTGCTGCTGTTTCTACTGTTGCTGCTGCAGCAACAGCACGCGGAAACTCTTCATAACCGCGAATATCCAATAAATGTTAGCAAAAATAGTGCTGCTGCTGCTGCTGCTGCAGGCACGGTGTCGAACTGCAGCAGCTGCTGCAGTCGCCGCTGCTGCTGCTGCAGCGGCTGCAGCGGCTACCCGTTGCATGCGCTCTGCAGCAATGTCTTTCTTTTATGTTATTTATACTAATATTGAGACTTGTACTTCTTTAATAATTTCAGTAAAAGGATCAGCAGCAGCAGCAGCAACAGCAGCAACAGCAGCAACAGCAACAGCAGGCGCAGCAGCTGCATCGTCGGCAGCTGCGGAGCAGCAACACCAGCAGCAGCAGCAGCACCAAAGGGAGAGAAGACGCAGCAGCAGCAGCAGCAAATGTACTGACACGAATATCTCAAGCCACCAAGAGCATCCAAGACCCCATTACTTAACGAAGCAGCAGCAGTTGCTGCTGCTGCTGCTGCTGCAGCTACTGTTATTTGCTGCTGTTGCTGCTGCGACTGTTGCTGCAGTATGAGTCAATGCATGCGGTTCTTGCTGCATCTGGGGCAGGGCCCCCGGCAGTTGCTGCTGCAGCAGAGGGCCCCCTTCAGCAGCAGCAGCAGCAGCAGCAGCAGCAGCACCATCAGCAGCAATGGCAAGAAAATAGTGCCTTGTAAGTTGCCCCCCGGCCTTAAGTTATCTGAGCAGCAGCTAAAGCAGCAGCAGCAGCAGCAGCAGCAGCAAGCAGCAGCAAAATTAAATAGATTTAGGATAGCACAAGAAAGAAAAAAAAGATGTAAACATACAGCAGGACAAAATGTTACTTACTAGTTCCTGCTGCTGCTGCTGCTGCTGTTGGTCTGCTGCTCCGGCATATAAGGCGGAAGCAGCAGCAGCAGTTGCTGCTGCAACAGCAGCAACAGCAGCAACAGCAGCAACAGCCATGTTTGGGTAAGACAGCCATGCACATCTGCTGCAGCTTACGATGGCTGACTGCAGCAACAGCAGCAGTTGAACTGCAGCAGCAGCAGCAGCAGCTGAACAGCAGCAAGAGCAGCAGCAGCAGCATTGTTACGAATTCGTGTTGCTGTATAAAGTATCCCCGTTCTGCAGCAGCAGCGAGGACTTTTGCTGCTGCAGCGGATGTTTGCAGTTGCTGCAGCAGCTGCTGCTGCTGCAGCAACTGCAGCTGCCGCAGCAACAATCTCCTGCAGCAGCAGAAGAGGCAGACTTATTCTGTTCTGCTGCTGCTTGTCTCTTAGCAGCTAGCTGCAAGCAGCAGGGAATCCTTGGGGCATAAGAGCAGCAGCAGCAGGAGCAGCAGCAGCTGCTGCTGCTGCTGCTGTTGCTGCTGCTGCATTGCATCTACTGCTCATTTGTTTGTTTTTTTTTGTTAAAATTGACCTCTTGTGTTTTTATAACTACTGCAGCAGCAGCAGCAGCAGCAGCAGCAGCAGCAGTAGAGCATGAGAAGCAACAGCAGCAGGTTAGCAGCAGCAGCAGGTTAGCAGCAGTAGCATTACCACACCAAGGTAGCAATAGCAGCAAGATAGCAGCAGCAGCAACAGCAAGATAGCAGCAGCAGCAGCAGCAGCAGCAGCAGCAGCAGCAGCTAGTTGCTGCTAGTTAGCTGGTTGCTGTCCCTTTGCATCTTCGTCATCGTAGGTAACCATCTACCTACTTAATCAGCTACCTACCTACCTACCTACTTGGCTAGCTAGCTAGCTAGCTAGCTAGTTAGCTAGCTAGCTAGCTAGTTAGCTAGCTAGCTAGCTAGCTCGCTGGTAGATTTGTTACGTAGCTAGCTAGCTAGCTAGCTAGCTAGCTAGCTAGCTAGCTATATAGCAGCAGCAGGAGGGGAAGAAATAAACTTATTAGAAGGTTTAGGGTTTAGGGTTTAGGGTTTAGGGTTGTTGCTGCAGCAACTGTCGTTGCTACAGCAAGTGCTGCAGCTGCTGCAGTTGCTGCTGTTGTTGCTGCGGTTGCTGCTGTTGCTGCAGTTGAGTTTCAGTGTTTTGTTTGTCTTCGTGGTGTTGCTGCTGTCTGCTGCTGCTGCTGCTGCTGCTGCCTTCTGCTGCTGTCTGCTGCTGTCTGCTGCTACCCATGCTACTCTCTTCTGCCGTTGCTGTCTGCTGCTGCTGTGTGCTGCTATTGTCTTCTACTGCTACTAGTTGCTGTCTGCTGCTGCTGCTGCTGCTGTTGCTGCTGCTGCTGCTGCTGCTGTTGCTGCTGCTGGCGAGGATTCTGCTGCGCTGCAGCAGTTTGTCCACTAAGGAGGGGCAGAAAAAAAAAAAATAAAAAAAAATAAAATTAAATAAATAAATAAATAATTAAATAAATATAATTGAATATAATAGAGGTAAATATATTTCTGCTGCTGCTGCTGCTCCTGCAGCAGCAGCAGCAGCAACAGCGGGGCCTCCTGAGGGGCCCCGGGCCCCACATCGATGTATGTGCAGCAAGGCAGCAAATTGCTGCTCTTCTTAATAAATAAATAAATAAATAAATTCTTCTTATTTATTCCTTTCTTTGTTGTTGCTGCTGCTGCTGTTGCAGCAGCAGCAGCAATAGCAGCAACAGCAACAATAGTAGCAGCAGCAACAACAACAACAGGCACAAGGACCGTAGTTGCAGCAGCCCTTGGAGCTGCAGCAGCAGCTGCAGCAGTAGCAGGAGGATCAGCAGCAGCAGCATCAGCAGGAAGACCAATATTATCAGCAGCAGCAACAGCAACAGCAGCAGCAGCAACAGCAGCAGCAAGATGGAGGGTCTAGCAGCAGCAGGGAGGTCTGCTGCTGCTGTGTTAAGTATAGGAGATAATTGCATGCAGTTGCTGTCTCTTCCTTATCTGCAGCCGCAGCAAACATTGCTGCAGCACGGTGCAGCAGCAGCAGCAGCAGCAGGAGATATAATATCAGCAGCAGGCGGAGTAGGAAAAGAAGGATCTATATTTGCTGCTGCTGCTGTCTGCAGCATAGGCAGCAACAGCAGCATTGTTGCTGCTGCGCTGCAGCACAAGCCAACAATTATTTATTATAATTTATATAAACAAACTGCGGTGTATAGACAGTCCACTACCAGCATTGTACGCTGCTGCTGCTGCTGCTGCTGTTGCTGCTGCTGTTGCTGCTGCTGATGCTCATGTTGCTGCTTCTGTTGCTGCTGTTGTTGTTAGTGTTAGTGTTGCTGTTGCTGCTGTTATTGTTGCTGCTGTTGCTGCTGCTGCTGTTCTTTCTCCTTCTATCCCTTTTATCCACATATTGTTGCTGCTCTTTCTACTGCTGCTGCTGCTGCTGCTGCTGCTGCTGCTGTTGCTGTTGCTGCAGTTACGGTGTCTTGCTGCAGACAGAAGCGGTTCTTTTTTATTTGGCGGAGATGATTCAGGTGTATTGACAGCTTGGCTGCTGCCTGGCTGTGTGCAGCAGCAGGATTCCTCCTCCTCCTCTGCTGCTGCTGCTGCTGCACCTGCAGCAGCAGCAGCAGCAGCAGCAGATACACTGCAGCATAAATTATCCCCTTTATTATGTAGCTGGAAGGCACACGACAGCAGCATATGCGGGGTGTACGTACACCTCAATCTTCTTATTACTGCAGCAAAAGATGGATCTATTAAGGCTTATTATCTAACTGAGTAAACCCTAAACCCTAAACCCTAAACCCTAATTTTTTTATAAACCCTAATTTTTTTATAAACCCTAATTTTTTCATAAACCCTAATTATACTAAACCCTAAACCCTAAACCCTAAACCCTAATTACTGTGTAAGAGAGATAAGAGAAACCCTCATGCCTTTTCTTCCTTACTTAATGGTGTTAGGGTTTATAAATTAGGGTTTAGGGTTTAGGGTTTAGGGTTTAGGGTTTACGTGTGTGTGTGCAGCATTATATCTTCTTGTTCAATGGATGAAAACATCGGGCTCAGCAGCAACAGCAGCAGCAGCAGCATTAGCAGCAGCAGCAGCAGCAGCAGCATTAGCAGCAGGGTACCTAGACCAGTCCGTAGATGGCAAGGGCATGCAGCAGCAATTTGCTGCTGCTGCTTCCTTGAGGGTTTATCTCTTCATAGAGCAGCAGGAGATTGGCTGCTGCTAACTGCAGCAGAAGATAGAACTGTTAGAGTCCGTTGCTGCTGCTGCTGCTGCTGCTGCTGCTGCTGCTGCTGTTGCTGCTGCTGGTAGTAGTTGTATTTGTAGGGGTGGGTGTTAACGTGCTGGTGTTGTTGCTGCTGCTGCTGCTGCTGCTGCTGCTGCTGCTGCTGCTGCTGCTGCTGCTGCTGCTGCTGCTGTTGCTATTGCTGATGGTTCGTTTTTGGCTGCTTTTGCTGCTGCTCTTGTGCTGCTGCTGCTGCATTTGCTGCTGTTGCTGCTGCTGCTGCTGCTGTTGCTGCTGCTGCAGGTATTTGGCAGTACATCTGATGAATGCTTAGAAGCCTTTAGGTTACCTGCTGCTCCTCTTTGTCTTGCTGCTGCTGCTGCTGCTGCTGCTGGCCCCACAGCATTAGCCTTCGTAGGGTGTACAGACAGCAACATATATGTACTCAAGATTGCTGCTGCTGCTGGCAGCAGCAACATCAACAGCAGCAACAGCAGCAACAGCAGCAGCAGCAGCGGTGGCAGTGGCGTGCTGCTAAGAGAGTCTTGGGTATGTCCCCCAGTAGCCCCAAGCAGCACCATCAACAGCAGCAGCAGCAGCAGCAGCAACAGCAGCAGCAGCTGCAGCAGCAGCAGGGCAGCTGTGCTGCAGGGACATTCTGCTGCAGTTCGTTGCTGCTTAATGTTAGGGAATGGCAATTTGCTGTCTGCTGCTGCTGATGGATTCCGTGTATGGCAAGTAGCAGCAGCAGCAGCAGCAGCAGCAACAGCAACAGCAGCAGCTACACATATACCTCCAAGACAAGGTACACACTCCTGCTGCTGCTCCTGTTGCTGCTGCTGTTTGTCCGGCTGCTGCTGCTGGTTTATGTGTTGCTGCAGCATTTAATTGCAGTGTATGTGCTCCTCCTTTACTGTCATTGTGCGTTTTGCTGCTGCTGCTGCTGTTGCTGCTGCTGTTGCTGCTGCAGGCTTAGCATTACCCGTGGATGGTCTGCAGCTGCTGCTGCTGCAGCCACCGGAGTCACGAAGGCTGCTGCCTCCCTTAGGTTTGCTGCGGCAGCACAGCAGCAGCAGCAGCGGAGAGGGAGCAGCAGGTATTTCTGTGTGTCTGCTGCAACGTTCTATAGAGCAGCAGCAGCTGCTGCAGGCAGCTCTGCTGCAGCGGCAAGCAGCAGCAGCAACAACAGCAGCAGCAGCAGCAGCAGCAGATAATTTCCCTGTCTATAAGTCAGACCCGCGGAGGTTTAAAAGACACGCACAAATACTACAGGTAATAATACACAGCAGCAGCAGCAGCAGCAGCAACAGCAGCAACAGCAGCAGCGGAAGCAGCAGCAGCAGCGGAAGCAGCAGCAGCAGCAGCAAATGTAGGAACAGCAGCAGCAGTTGGAGAGTGTGACTTCCTGTTGCTGTTGCATGCCCGCAGCATTATTGATCTGCTTTTTCTGTTATTGCTGCTCTTGCTGCTGCTGCTGCTGCTGCTGCTGTTGCTGTGTTTAGGTGTACAGACACCGCAACAGTCCTAATGCTCATTGCGTGCAGCAGCTGCTGCAGATGTCCCAAGGAGCAGCAGAGACACTGCAGCAAGCCGTGCTGCGGCTCCTACGGAATAAAGGGGGAGCAGCAGCAGCAGCAGCAGATGGTGCTACTGCTGCTGCTGCTGGTACTGGTAAAGCTGCAGGGCGTTCAAAGACTACCGCAGCAGCAGCAGCAGCAGCAGCAGCAGCAGCAGCAGCAACTGCTGCTGCTGTTGATGCAAGGGAAGTAGATGCAGCAGAAGAGTCTCCTGTCTCCTCTGATTGCGACAGCTAGAATGTTTCTGCTGCTGCTGCTGCTGCTGCTGCTTGGCAGCAGCAAACAGCAGCAAACAGCAGCAGCAAAGTCTGCATGCATGCTAGGGTGTCCATACACCACAAGCAGCGGCTTTTTATACGCTAAACCCTAAACCCTAAACCCTAAACCCTAATTAATAAACACTTGAGGTACAAAAGACAAATAATAACGTTAAATCTAAAACATCTGCAGCAGCAGCTGCTGCTGCTGCTGCTGCTGCCTGCAGCAGCAGCAGCTGCTGCTGCTGCTGCCTACTGCTGCCAGGCAAGGCCAGGCAGTCTTAAACTAAAACACATCACAAGACACATCACTAGACACTGCAGCAGCAGCAGCAGCTGCTGCTGCTGCTACAGCTGCTGCTACAACTGCTGCTGCTGCTGCTGCTGCTGCTGCTCCATATTAGGAGACAAAAACAAACACAACAAAAAGAAAAAAGGAGACACATTAGCAGCAAAAGGGACAAAAGGAGACACTGCAGCACAAAAGCAGCTACTCCTTATAAGACACCCTAAAGAGCAGCAGCAGCAGCAGCAGCAACAGCAGCAGCAGCAACAGCAGCAGCAAGCAATAAGTTCTGTTGTTGCTGCTGCTGCTAGCAGGTGCTACTGCAGCTGCTGCTGCTACAGCTGCTGCTGCTACAGCTGCTGCTGCTGCTGCTGTTTGGGTGTATTAGCGGTAGTGCTGCTGCACAGCGTATTGCTGCTGCTGCGCGTGGTAGTGCTGCTGCTGCTGCTGCATGCCGTAGGCCTGCTGCATGCCGTAATGCTGCTGCTGGGGCTGCTGCTGCATGCTGTAGGGGTGGTGCTGCTGCTGCTGCTGCTGGTTGCTGCTGTAGCCCTGCTGCTGCACATTCTGCAGCATATGGCCAATCTGCTGCGTCATGTACTGCTGCTGCTGCCCCCCCTGCTGCTGCTGCGGCTGCTGCTGCTGCATGCCATACTGCTGCTGCTGCTGCGGCTGTTGCTGTCGTTGGTCGCCCCACCCTGCAGTATACGCTTGCTGCTGCTGCGGTTGCTGCTGCTGCTGCTGCTGCTGAGGATTGCCCCCCCTGTAGTAGCCAGCAGACTGAGGTGTCTGTCCTCTTTGCTGCTGCCGCCAGTCCGCTTGCTGCTGCTGCTGCTGCTGCTGCTGCTGCCCTTGTATCTGCCTCTCTTGCCACTGCTGCTGCTGAGGGGCACGCTGCTGCTGCTGCTGCTGCCCATTCCACTGCTGCTGCTGCTGCTGGTCATGCCACTGTCGCATCGGTTGCTGCTGCTGCTGCTGC